CTAACTAAATGATAATTAAATCATTTGACCAGAATGATTTTTTATCATTTCAATTGAATAATAAATAAAGAATCATTTAATTAGAATGATTATATCATTTCAAATTGAATAATAAAATAAAAATTATTTCAAATCGAATGATAAAACAAAAATTATTTTAAATCAAATGATAAAGTAAAATTCGTTTCAAATTAATCGATAAAGTAAAATTCGTTTCAAATTAATCGATAAAGTAAAATTCATTTTAAATTGAATAATAAAGCAAAATCATTCCAAATCGAATGATAAGTAAAGAATTGTTTAATTAAAATAATTATATCATTTCAATTGTATAATAAATAAAATATGATTTATTGATAAATTGTTTCTAATTTACTTTAAATCTTATATTGATTTAATGTATTTTCGAATATACTATTTGAGTTTATTTTCAGTATATATAGAAATATATAGATAAGTTTAATTTTTTCATTTTTTAAGTTGAATTTTAGTCAATTTTCAAAAAATATACTGATTTTTTTACTTTTTATAATAGAAATATACCTCCAACTATTAAAATTGAATAAAACTTAAGTTAAATTTTAGTCAATTTTTCTGATTTTTTTACTTTTTATAATAGAAACATGTCTGCTAATATTAAATTAGACAAAACTTAAATTGAATTTTAGTCAATTTTTCAAAAAATATACAAAAAACAAATTGATTTTTTTATTTTTTATAATAGAAACATGCCTCTAACCATTAAAATTGAATGAAACTTAAGTTGAATTTTAGTCAATTTTTCAAAAAATATACAAAAAATAAACTGATATTTTTATTTTTTATAATAGAAATATGCCTTAAACCATCAAAATTGTATGAAACTTAAGTTGAATTTTAGTTAATTTTTCAAAAAATATACAAAAAACAAACTGATTTTTTTATTTTTTATAATAAAAACATACTTTTAACTATCAAAATTGGACAAAACTTAAGCTGAATTTTAGTCAATTTTTCTGATTTTTTATTTTTTTTTTTTCAAAAATAATAATATTATTATAATGAATATTTAAGATGATTTAAGGGAATTTTAGGAGAAAAATGAATTATATTTTTATTATTTTACATAATTTTTTTGTTTTTTTTGCTTATATTTTTTAAATAAGAAATTAATCAGTGAGTTTTGATAATATTTATGTTATATTTTTATGAATTATATTAGGTTTTTATTATTAATAAAATTTTAATATTTAATAAATTTAATAAATATAATATATTGATTTTATATGCTTATTTAACCAAATGATACCAAATTGAGCTAATTTTAGACTAATTATAGTTATTTAAGTTTTAAATTAATGCTGAATGATGCTGAATTAAGATCAATTTTAGGCTAATTATGATTATTTAAGTTCTGAAATGATGCTAAATGATACTGTATTAAGATCAATTTTAGGCTAATTTATAGTTAAATTTAAGTTTTGAATTAATGCTAAATGGTTATATTTAATTAGAATCGATTAGCGTCTATTGGCATCTGAATTATTATTAAATTAAGGCTAATTTAGGCTGATTTATGGTTGAATTTAAGTTCTAAATTGATGCTGAATGGTCATGTCTGATTGGAGTCAATTAACGTCTATCAGTATCTATTTGTACTAATTAGAAAATATGATAAATTAACCATAAATAGTATCAAAATTAGCCTAAAATCAGCTATCTAATTTTTAACTAATTTGAATATTTTGATCAGTGATATTAAAAATAATATATTATAATATTAATAATAATATATTTATAGATAATATATATTATATTATTTATATTAGTTAATATTATAAGTTAATCAATATAAATAATTACTATATAATCTTTATTTTATTAAGTTAATGTAAATTGTATTTATAAAACTCTTTTTTCTTAATTCTTTATTTATTAAAATTATTATTAAATTAATATTTTAATAAAAATTAAAAAATTATTATTTTTTTTTTTTTGATAATTAATTTATAAATCTTATAAAATAAATACTTTTAGTATTTAAATAAACATTATATCGAAATTATTCTTTAATATATAAATAGAATAAAAAAATAATTAAATTTATTATATTATTATTATTTTATATTAAATAATAATTTATACAAATAATAACTTTTTTAAAATATAATTTTAAATACTTTTTGAATTTATCTAATTTATAATAAACCAGTTAGCCTTTTTTTATAAATGAATTTATTATTATAAAAAAGCAATTATATTATATAAACTATTATAATAAATCAATATAAAGTTTTTAAAATTACAAAAACTAATAATTTATTATATTATTTAATAATAAAATATTAATATAAAAATTAATATAAAATATTAAAATGTAAATAAGTTATTTATATATTTAATATAGACTAATGATTAATTACTAATGTAAAATATAATAATATAATATAAAAAATATTATCATATAAACTTAATATGTTTTTATAAAGTTATATAATAATATAAATTATTTATTATAAAAATAATAAAAATATAGTAAATTATATAATTTATAATATAATTTTATATGTATAAAATATTATAAATTAATTATAAATTAAATATATTAAGTAATAAAAATTACATTTAATTATTTTAATAATTAAAATTAAGTTTTTTTTTTTTAATCATGATTTATAAGATTTTCATAATATTTTGTTCTAATTAAGACATACTTATATTTATTAAAAAGTTTAATTAGGCAGATTTAATGGTATATTTCTAATTATTTACTCAAAAGTTATTTGATTTAATAATATTATTTATAAAATTATTTTAAATAGGTTTACAAATTTTTTAATTTATTTTATTTTATCTTAATTATTTATATAATTTATTAACTAAAAATTTATTTAATAATTTAAATTAATATAAATAACAATATTACTTTTAATAATGCTTATTAAAACTATTTTCGTTACCTTAAACTGGTCTAAACAATTTCAGGTTGAAATTAATAAAATAATTATTAAAAAATTAATTTTAATAAGACAAAATCAATAAATTGTATTTTAAATAGATAAAAAATTTTAAAAAATTTAACACGTGATCGATCGCAAATGTGGCTAATTCGTTTTCCGAATTAGTTATACTGTATATCGTAATTTCCTTCAACCGAATTGTTTCACCTTTTTTTTTAAAAAAAAACTTACTGTAAAGAATGACGTTAGAATGCTGGCAAGAAGTTATTAATGATTATGAAAAGCTGCTTGAAATAGACGAAGGATATGATGTTATTATATATGCTGGTGAAGAGGAAAATATTAAAGAACTACATGCTCATTCAAATATTTTACGTATCAGGTCACGATATTTTCGTAATGAACTAACTAAAGAAAATGTTGAGAAAAGAGAAGGAAGATTTCTTATAAAGGTACCAAATATTTCTCCACAAATTTTTAAAATGATCTTAAGGTAATTAATGTAACTAGTATATACGATAATCATGTGAACTAGGTTATTAATATAATATAATTTTTTTCTTTTGATCTTCAGATTTATATATTGTGGAAAGATTGACTATACGAAATTAGAAGGACCTGAATTATTAAAACTGTCAATAGCAGCAGATGCACTTAATATTCAGTCTTTAATTCCCAGAATTGAAGAATATTTAATTAAAAACCAACGCGAGTTTTTGCAAAAAAATCCTATAGATACTCTTGAAATAATTTATCAACACGAGACCTTTACAAAATTATGGAATTTTTATCTTGAAAAAATCTGTGAAGAACCCGAAGAATTATTTAATTCTGATAAATTTATCAATATAAATTCACCTTTGTTGGAATTACTTTTGAAACGGGATGATTTATGTTTAGAAGAAATTGATATTTGGAATAGTTTAATTAAGTGGAGTTTTGCTCAAAATCCGTCTGTTCCTAGAGATGCAAACAAATGGAGCAAGGAAGAAACTACAATTATGGAAAGGACTTTTCATAGATATATTCCTTTGGTTAGATTTTATTGTATGTCTTCGGAAGAGTTTCTTGATAAAGTATGTCCTTTTAGGGATTTATTACCAAGAGATTTGGTTAATAACCTCTTGGCATTTCATTTGGCACCAAATAGGAAATTAGATATTAATATACCGCCACCTAGACTGTCGAAATTTGTTTATGATTCATTATTAGTTAAACCTCAACATTTGGCCGTATTTTCCAGTTGGATCGATAAGGAAAACAATTTACATTATAATGTAAAGAATATGCCTTATAAATTTGATTTACTTTATCGTGCTAGTAAGGATGGAAATACACCTGCAATGTTTCATCAAAAATGTAATAACAAAGGGGCCACTATAGTTATAGTAAAAGTCAGTGATTCAGGGCAAATAGTGGGAGGTTATAACCCGCTTTTATGGGATTCGGGTCCTCAAAAATGGTTATCTACAAGCGATAGCTTTATATTCTCATTTAATAGTAAAACGGACCTTCAAATCGCAAAAGTGGGATATAATAATGGTGGTGCTCGGTATTCTATAGGTTGTTATGTGGAACATGGACCTATATTTGGAGGTGGTAGTGGAAATGATTTAATATTTAATTGTAATAATGGTTGGTCAAGCAATTCATCCTCCTATTCTCCAACTGATATACCTGCAACGTTTAAAGTAGACGATTACGAAGTATTTCAAGTTACTAAAAAGTAATATAACTGGTAAATTTTCATTTTTTAAAGTAACGGTGTGTGTAATGATCATGAAATACATAGATATAAATAGAGTGTAAGGAAGATAATGGTCATCTAAAGAAAGTTACCATCAATTTTTCTAAAGTGAGCTTTTTTGATTTTTTTATTGGATAACCTTTTCCTTCGAAAACATCAGTTAATTTATTAAATTATCAATTTCTTTTTTATTATTTTAATTGTATAATATGTTTAATAGTTTATATGCAAAATATTGTAGTTATAAAGTGTTAAATAAAACAAATTTAGAAACTAATATAAAGAATTTCTCATGAACAAATTATACTGTATCTTCAACTTGTAATCTTCTCCATCACAAATAAACGAGCAATTGTAGCCAAATTCCCCAGTAAGAGGATTGTATTTTCAATAGAATGGGCGGCTCTCTAGATATAGAGTCTCCATGCATCATATATTCCAGCTGACGCTTTCATGGTTTCCATTTTCGCTAGTCAAATGATAAAAATAGAAAATGGACTTAAAAGCAGCCCGATTAAATGTACGATAATGCTCAAATATAAGAAAGATTACATCTTCGATCATCAAAACATACTTATGTATATCATAGTTTGAAGAAAATTTACTAAAATCTTTGGAAGAAATCAAAGAAATAAATATAATTGATTTATTAATTTAATAAATATATAACGTACAATGTTAAGTCAATTAATCAATCTTAATAACTTGAAATACTTCATAAAAATCAACCTCAAAGTTCCTTGGGATGTTAAGGTTAGGGTAAGAATTTGGCTTTGAACTCCAAGTACCGTTTGGATGCATCATTAAATCATGACTAATACCACACCAATATCCAAAAAGTGGACCCCAATCAGGCCAACAACTCACAGCAAATTGTGTATTAATAACTCTGCCTAAATGTGCCGAATCCAAATTCTGATGATCATCAAAATGGAAGATAAAACTATCCGGGGTAGTCTTGAAAATACTATTTCCCGCCCAATTAATTGGGTTATATCCTCCGACTAAATGATTTGTCCCTTTGATTTTTGCGATTACGAGGTTCGCTCCTTTGGAATCACATTTTAGGTGAAATACTACGGGAGAAGTTCCATCCTGGCTACTACGCAAAAGAAGTTCGAATTCATATGAAACCTCTCGATATTTTTTATAAGGTTCATCCTTTCTATCTAACCAACTTGCAAATAATTTAATATGCTCTTGATTTAAGATAAGAGAATCAATTTTTGGTAACCTCGACGGTAATGATCCAGAAATTCTCCTTATGCTAGGAACCAAATATAGGTGCAAGATTTCAGATCTCAACTTTTTCGGTAATAATTTTTTGTAATTTAATACTCTCTCATAAAAATCCTCGGAAGTAATGTCTTGAAATCTAATCAATGGTATAAAGTTATGTACGGTTTGTTTCATCGTTTCAACTTCCTCTCTAGTCCACGTAGAAGGAATACGACTAACATTAGGATTTTGTGCATGAGCCCATTTAATTAAATTGTTCCAAATTTCGATTTCCTTTAACATGAGGTCATCTCGATTCAAAAGTGCTTCAAAAATTTGTGCGGGTAACGACAAAAATGAATATTTTTGAAATAAAAATTGCGGTTCTTGGCAAACCTTTTCCAACGATAAGTCTTGTAATGCTTCAAAGCTTTGATTCTCAAATATTAATTTAAGATTTGCAACCGGATCAACTTTTAATTGATTATTGATAAAGAATTCTTGAATATGTTCGACGAGTATAGAAAGTCCAAACTCATCGATAGCTATTAATAACTTTAAAATATCAATAGCATTTTCAAAATCCAATTCGATTTTTCCGCAATAAAAATACCTAAGGAAAAAAAAAAAATTTTTTGAATATTATTTAATATTATTTTTTTTTAAAAATGAACAAAAAAAAAAAAATGCTAGTTCATACTTGAGCATCTTATTTACAATGGTTGGTGTAACATTTGGCTTTCTAAATATATACATCCCATCTCTTCTTTCGGCCCAGTCGTTTGAAAATGCTGCTTGAAAGTAAGTTGATTGACAGCGAAGAATAATTGAATGGGCGTAAATTTCTTGAGCATGTGGTTCTTCTCCTGCGTAAATAATAACATCACAATTCTCCTTTGTTTCATAAAGTTGTTCGAAATTTTTTATGACTTCTGGCCAAAATTTTGATTCCATTTTCGAATGAGGGGGGAAATAACCAACAATCAAAAAATCAAACATTTTATATCTTTTCATGAGACTTGTGATACATAACTCGAATAATCCAGATGGTAATCTTCGTGCGACTATCTTATTAACAGGTCCATAATTGGTCTTAAAAGGATTTAAAAATAATTTTTATTTATATAAATTTATTTTATTTAATTTTAAAAAAAATTAGAAATTTACTTAATTTATTCAACAAACATTTTTCTACTTTTTTTTTTATAATACAAAAATTAGGAATTATCTTTTTTTTTTTTTAAAAAAAAAATATCAAATATAATATACAGTAAAATCTCATTATAATGAACGTTTCACGGTAACTAATGTTCAATATAACGTGATCCAACTACAACAAGATTCGATATCAAAAAATACAAACTTATACATCGCGCATACATATACCGAATATAAATATTAAACCAAAAACTCTATATATATATATATTAATATTATAAACATTTATCATCTAAAGTTTGAGAAGGAAAGTCTAGTACGGGAAGATTTTTACTTTGTACAAAGAAGCCTATATTACCTTCGAGGGTGGTTTCAATGTGTGGTTGAGTCTTTCCTTTACATCCACTTTCTTTTCCAACTGAAATTGTTGTACCAAGAGTTGTAACCAATTGAATTCCAGTTTTAACACCAAAGGCTCCATTAAGCACATCAATATTTAAAGCCAATTGCGGTTTTAATGAACTGGTAATGTCAGTTGAACCGGTGACACCGACCGATGGATCATGTGATTTGGTTTCAGGTTCAAATCCGGATTGTTCAACTTTTGGCTCGTCGAGTAACGTGGCCTTTACGTTAAAATTTGGTAAATTAATTTCACTACCAGCATAAATGGTTCCCGTCACATCAGCTGATATCTTGGCCGAAGCGGTAAGGATCAATGAAGGTCCAATATTAAATACGTTTGGTATACTGATGGGGTTTAAAGGAAGGTTGAGGAGTTGAAGATCAGGTGGAGAGATGACGGTTCCAAGTTTACCATTAAGAGAAAGGTCAAAATTCATTTTAATCTTTCCATTTAGAGAAATCGAGGCTTCGTTTATCTCAATTTTTGGGTCCACTTTACCAGCGATCCTCATTGAAATTGTAGCTTCGCCGCTCATAAAACAATTGGCGCAAACTAATGATTCACTCGTATTATCTTGTTCTACTTCAACGAGTGGAAAGTTTGGCTTTGATGATTTTCCAGTTTTTTCATCAAATAAGACATTTAAATCCAATTTTTCACTAACGTCAATCGGAAGTTTGGGTTTATCTTCATCTTGACGACGATTTAATCTACCTCTCTTATTCAAGTCACGATTCCGGGCGTTGCGTTTGTTCGTTTTACCGTTTTCCCATGAAATTTCTACAAGAAATTCATCGGACCATTCTAAAGGGTCGCAACTCTCCGTGGTGAAGCTTACTTTTTTTTTAGGAGCGTCAACAGTTTTGTTTCTAACCATATAAAATTGTGTAGTGGATTTTCCAAAACATTCCCATTTATGTGAAATCAATAACATGACCTTATCGGGCCAATTATCAACTTGTTCTATCGATTTCTTATCATTCAAACTGAGAGTGATCTTATCATCACCACATTTAATATCAGATACCACTCCGCTTTGATCGGGATTGAATGATGGTACTTTGGTTTTAAAATAAATCTCTGCTTTATGATGCCCTCCAGTTTTAGTTTTAGAAGCCGTTTTTTGGCTATAAATGCTACGAAGTTCAGAGGAAGGTACAAACCCATTGTTGTTTGTTTCAACTTCAAAATCCGCTCTAACCAAGGAAATGATTCCAATGAGTAAAAGTGAAAAGGTGAATTTGACCATTTTTGTTCTATGTGAGTTTTTAAGAAGGATTGAAGGATTGTGAATTTTTTTTATTCAAGGGGACTTTTTTTATTTTCGGGATGGATGGGAAGGTATATAAATGTGATGATATGGATAGAAGGGAGATGTTCGATGATATATGTATCCCCTGTGAATAAAAAGACGTCTCAAACGTCGTCAGTATTGTATTAAGTTTTTTTGAAACTTTTTTGGATATTTTGTTAAAAAAAAAAAAATTATTCATGAAGCGCATATATATATAAAAAACAAGAAATCATTTTTGATGTAACCGGGTGACATAGAAACCCAAATTTGGGGTGATTTGACACCTTTATTCGGCCGTTCAATTCCCTTTTATGTATTTGATGTGGTCCTAATTAAATGGGAATGGTGCATTGTCCCCTTTGTGAATGCCCAGAAAATTACCAGTATTGTGATTCAAACATGATACCATCAACTTTATGAAACGAATAGAAGTTTCCGCAAAATTTATCCTGCATACCTGCTTATCTTTTTAGAGAAGTAAAGGAATAATACTACATATAGTCATTATCTGAGAATTTTCGACATCTAAGCCCAGAAAATTCTAGATTTGCCAGTGGCTGACTTCCCGTGTAACGCTTTTTATTGAGAACCTTCCTTTAAAGGAAAATATTAATTACAGACAAGTTTTTGGTTGTACCGTAATTAGATAAAAGATTTTTTTTTTGTGCGTTTTGAACGTTAAAATAGTTCGACGTATATATGACGCGCACGATCTCTCTTGTGATATAATGGAAGAAAGGTTATCATTAAAGAAAGATTACCGTTAACAAAGGCCGATGATAACTGTACTATTTGGGTTACACAGCTGATTCTTCAATTGGATATAAAAACTTTGCATATTTCTTCGGCCATAAACTTTGTGCAACTTCTTTATACATAATCCCTTTATTTAAATTTAATAATGTTATACGCCACAGTACATTTTATCAAAAATTCAAATTTAGATAAATGCATAATTTTAAAACGAAGGGTTAAGTGTTGCATGAACAACGCTTTTTTTTTTTTTTTGCATAAACAATATGACTATCAGACAAATCATTTTAATATTTCGTATATTGAGAATTCAAAAATCATTTTGAATATAAAAAAAAAAAAATGATTTTCTATATCAATCAAATACTTAAATATTCAAACGGCCTAACGTAGGATCATCATCATCATAAAAAATTTTAATATTAACGAAGTTTAACCGACAGATATGATTATATCAACTTATAGGTGTTACATCGCATTATTTGTCAATTATCGGTTATTGCCTCAGATCTGATATTCTGATATTGCATTTTAAATTTGGAGCAGGATTTTGATGGGTGAAATTTACTGAAGATTCGTTTAAATTCGCATTGTATAGGTATCACAAAATAGATCTCGGGTGAAATCGGCACTAGTCACCAATTACAGCTACTTGTGATCTGGCTTACCTCGAGAAAAAATAAAATAAAAAAAGTTAAAAGATTTGATTTCGAAAGATATACGATATGATCACGTGACTCGTCAAGAAAACCGTAGAAAATTCAAAATTCAATTTTTTTTTTATTTAAGGAATTGTTTCAGAATAATCAAAGGCTGATGACTCACTGCTTACAACTGCTTTGGTTACATCAAGAGAATTTTGACATTTATGATGAATCAATTCACTTTGCAAGATTCCAATCAAAACGACTAGAAAGATTAAATTTGTATTTATGTTTGCGAGAAAAGCTTGAATTTTTGATAAAACTATCGTAGACCAAATTGTGTCATGCCAAAATGCCAAGACAAAACTTGTTAATGACCAAAATACAAATGTCATTATTGCCGAATAATTAAATATTTTCATCTTTCTTATATGATATTTAAACCTATCATTTCTCGTTTCAACTTCACCCTTTTCACCCTCTTGTGATAAAATATAGATCCTATGTATATTTCTTCCTTCCATTCCATCTTCATTTCTAAATACGTCAGTAATGTGAGTTTCTTGACAAGCCTCGGCTATTCCACCTTGCCCTTGAACTAAATCAAAACTTTGTATCGTCAAATCTATTAAAAGTCTTCCATATATTCCATATCCTATTACCAATAAGATACAAGAAATTCCATAGGTAACCAACCTTGTAGTAGTGAATACATCTAATAAGAATTTATTTTCTTTCATTCTAAAATATCCCGACAATATTGATGAACCATGCGCTACTATAATTAACGTCAAAGACATTGTCCAAAACAATGATTTTATTAGAGACATAGTTGGCACGCATATGGATGTATTATTTTCGGAAGGTTGAAAGAATGCCATGCGAGGTAATGTACGAAATACACCCGCCAAATATGTATACACGGCCAGTTGTGCTGTTATCCATTGTGCGTCTGATATCATCTCTCGATATATATAATTCGTTGGAAGCACGTCAGTTATGAATGTTATGCTACACACGACCCTTGCTGTAAAAGTCAAATGTGATACGAGTTAGGTGTCATGTCCACTTTATTGTTTTTATTTACGAATTTGACGTACGTACCTATTCCACACAGCATAGAAAATCCTAAAAATCCTTCCAAAGGTGTTATTATTCCATTAGACAATAATCTTACTTCTTGATGTGTCAACAGCCTTCTGATTAAAATCCCCTAGAAAATGGAGAAAAGATTAACTTGAATTTCCGGGTTTATCATGTGATTACTCAAAGTTTCATTACCACTTACGCCAGCTAAAAGTGTGAATATCACTGCCGTTATTAGATTTACATAGTACGTGATTACAAAATATTGCGATTGATAACATTCTGTTATGTAAATTGCCCATCTATCGAAGAGCCAAAGAAGAGAAGAAGAAATAATTTTATTTTATTGTCGAGTTCAAATTAAAATTAAAATGGTTAAATGAATTATTAGGGCACCTACTGGCAATACAATTTATTGTTTATTAAGTTTATAGGTTGGTATCGAATCATGTATATAAATATGTTTTTTTTTAAAAAAATTAATTTATTCAATAATAAATTTGACTAATAATTTACTTTCGTTGCGTTAATCAATTCGCCGTCAAATCATTACTTTAATTTATTTTTTATTTATCTTTTTTTTTTTACTTTTTTATTTTTAAATTAATCCACGTATCAATCTGTGATTTTTATAGTGCAGTTGCAACCAGTCCAGTAAAATATACGTACGGTATGTAAGAAAAAAAAAAAATGAGAAAATTTGTAGATGATGAGAAAGTTCGGAATCTATTTATATATTTTTAATCAGCAAAAACGGAAACTTTTATATTCACGATAATGAAATGGGAGATTGACACAAATGGTAAATATTTCAAATTAAATTAAATTACCTTACTTCAAATAGTTACTGTGGCGGGAAGACCTTAAAATGTTAAATTATTACCAGTTTTATTATACCGATTGGAAGAGTTTCTTGTCCAAGCCACCTTTAGATATTCGTGTAATGTTGATGTTTAAAAAATTGTGGAACCCACAAGCATTGCTCTTTATATTTTGTTATTAATTCGTGTAACGACGCATAAATTCGAATTTCGTAATTTTAATACAAGAGTATAGCTAAATATAATTTGCTTATTTGTTGTTGTATGAGGCCCTTCATTTATAGTTCCTCCATCAAACAACAAAATATTTATTTATTTCTTTGTTTGTCATTGTTCTATACAGAAAATACAAATCCCAATTCATGAATCTTCAAAATATTTTACCAAAATATTATCAAGAAAGTTTCAAACGAATGATGTTCCAAGAAAAAGGCATTCACATTTTTTTTAATAAATATATAATTAATTAATCAATCTTAATAAATGGCCCCGTTTTAAAATTAATTTCCGAATTTAATTTAATGAATCTGTATTCGATGTAAATCCGCATTTTTTATCGTTATCCATCGTCGTTACTTCGATCCAACTTTGTATAGTGTTGAAAGGCAATCATCATTATTATAAAATGACTTTTGCGGTTAAGTTCCCGATGCATTTAATAGTATTTAATAATCACGTATAAAATCTCGTTATGCATTAATTAATCAACCTAAAAAAAAACCCGACTTTTACAAAGTACAGGATTTATTAAAATAACGTCAAATATAATTATGAAGTCAATATATTCTTTAACTTTTACTCTATTTCTATTTCTTGTACATGCTTTATCCGATTTGTTCCTGTTACAGATTTCACAAAAATCATCGTCCAATTACATTTTATGATCACGAAATTTTGTTCATATAGCGCGGAGTTATGGCGTTGATCGAAATGTTTCGGCTTTTGAAAAAATACGGTAAACACTATGGGAGCGGAATTTACCCCACGCTACGATTTGCTGGTATAATTGATTATGATTATTTGTAACCCACTGAAAAAAATTCCAAGTCCCTAAAATTGAAACATAACCAGTGTCACACCGTTGACAAAACTCCTAATACCTAACCCTAATCTCAATTATACCAGCGTCGATATTTAAAGAATAATGTTTATCGGATTTGATCAGTTAATTTTACGATTATTTAGACGAAACGAAAATCACGGGCCTAGCCGAAATTAGGATATTGGTTCGTTCACCAATAGCCAAAATATTTCATTTGAATTTCTTGTTGAAGATTAAATCATTAAGTATGGGATCTTTTAATAATTTAAACATAAATTTAATAACTTGTGACAGTACCACATCGTCAAAAAAAAAAAAAAAAAAAATTATTAATAATATGTTGTTTCTTCTCGTCTTTCTTCTTATTCTTTTTGCCAGATAGGTGAGTAGGGAAATGATTTGTAAATTTCAGGATATTAATCATAATACGTAACAAATTCTTGTAACAGCTTGTATTTATCTTTTGTGATATTTTGCACTAATCATATCTTACACGCACCCTTGTATTAAATAATTAAATGTTAAAATAAGGTCAAAATTTTTTTATTTTATAGTTTAATCATCGAATAGAGCATTTGATCGTGTTAAATGTATCCAAATCAAAATCAATTTTTTCAAATTCAGCTTTCAAGCAAAATCTCCGGTTTGTTCAAGTGGACTAGAAAAAACTTGAGTCCAATAAGTTTCACTACCAAATGCGGCTCCCAAATGAACAAATACTGGATTAAGAATATTATCCCGATGTATGGTGGAATTCATCCAACTTTTTTAATAAAAATGAAAAAGGTGACTTTTAATTAGAACTTGAATTATAAATGAGACTTAAAATCTAATCATAAAAAAGATTCTTACCCTTGCATGACACGCACTTCCTCATTTGTACCATATCCTTCAGCGACATTTTCAGCAACGTTACTATAAACGTACCCGGTGTTTCGAACACGTTGCCCTATATCACCGGCAGGGTTATCGTGAGTAAGGGTGTTGGTCATAACCATATAATCGGTTTGCGTTTGAGCTGCTTGCGTCAATCGACTATAAAAAATGAAATATATAAAATAGAATCGTTAATACAATAATTACACGGCCGTATATGATCATGATACTTTGTCTGTTAAGTAATTTTTTACAGTGCGAGTTTATTTAAACTT